TCATAATTCCACCGTGCATAAACACTGAAAAGCATTCTGTCTAAACCTCATGTATCACATTTGAGTGTGTTCCCAAACACAATAATCACCGTCTCCACCGATGTGTCCCATTTGTGTTTCTCTAGCTTTGCTGTGTTAGTGTTTCCTGTTTGGTAATAAAGAATGGAGTGGTGAATCAACCACAGAAATGAAGGGCTTTCTAGTGCCTGCACTCATATCCCATCAGCTCCTGACAGTCTGTCAAGTGTTCAGCCACAGGCCAGAACACAACAAAGACGAGAACAGCCAGAACTCAGCCCAACTCACTTCACCGGGAAACTTTGACAAGTTTTGACGACAAAATTTTGACATGACTCTTGTCTGTGTATATTCACATATAGGCCTGTGCACACACACACACACACCCCTATAGATGTGCTAGCTTTTATTTCATCATTCCCCAATTACCTTTTCTTTCTGATAATTATCTCTCTTCTGTTCATTCTTGAGCTTGAACACAGAGACATTTTACTTCTTTGCAGCGCTCAATAATTCATGGGCTGCTCTTTGGCTGTGTGAATATTTACATGTAAAGTATCCCTCGGAGCTGGAGGAGAGGGGCATGTTTATAATGTTAAACACTCAAACGTCCCTCCAGACTGGATTTAGATTCCAACAGTTTTGCACAGCAACTGGGACATTGCATTTTTGCCTCATCATTTAATTTGGACTAAATAAACTGCAGTTCCTTGAGATGCAGCTGAGTGATATTATCCTATTATGCATTTGAGGAAAATATATGCAATAACATTTACAAGCATTTATTTTTGGTGGAATGTCACATCATAACCCGATCTCATGAATGTGCGTTTGGCACGATTTTCTGTTTTTATTTGGCATACTATTTTTACGACTTTGGCGTGCATATGATACGCATTTGGTAGGTTTAGGGGTGCGTGGTAGCTGCGTATTATATGCACGCCAACAAAGTGCGTATCATATGCGCACAAAAAATGCGTATTATATGCACGTCAATCACATGCATATTATAAAGACGGTTTCTGCATAAATAGCATGTAAAATACAACCAAAAAAATCGTGCTATTGATACGCATTTGAATAATCCAGCAGCTGTAGCTGTAATAAGAGCGTAAAGACGTCATCACCTGTACGTTTATATGATTCGATAGCATCTTAATAAATCTTACCTGAAAATTATAATGAACCATAATTAAATACACGAATGTATTCCAACAAAACTAGTGGTGTTGTTCAGTAAGGCAGAAATAGCATTTTAAGGTAGCAACTGCACCTTTTCGGTGTAAACAGTATTATAATTAATGTTCCTCTAAAACTGGCATTTTTACCCCGACTGTAAATCGATTTTCTGGTCGCATTGCAGAGCGGGAGTAGTTGTGCTGTTGTGGGACCGGAGGGCAAGCGTTCCCGTGCAGGGCTGTGCTGTGGCGCCGTCGCATCCTCGCGGGGTCCCGGTGGCAGGCGTCTCGCCAGCGTCTCCTGTGCATCTGGGGCCTCTTTGATACTTCACTCTGCATTTGAATCAGGGCCCCTGTGTTTGACAGTGCGCGGTAATTACCTGGCTCCCCTGCTTGATCATGTAAACTCTCCCAGAACCAAGGGAGATGCAGTCAAATGGGAAGATGTTAGAAAAACAAAACAACAACAAAGAAGGCAACGCCATTTATTTGAACACATCGCGAGCAGCTATGTGGATTTTACACCTTTAATTTGAACAGTGGAGATGGAAAACAATTCTTCCTAACATGTCGGGTATTTGTTTAAATATTGGGAAAGCAGGAGTCCTGAGGGGGCCCGTGATTCCTGGAGCTGCGTAACGAGTGAACCTGTGGAAAGCTGTGTGCATGAACACACGGTATATCTGGAATACCTGCACAGTAACGAATTACCAAGAAGCCATTAACGATATAATGTTGTCCTCTAGTTTAGAAGCAAATGATTAGCGCTAATGAGTTGTCAGTGACGTCAGTGGGCGTGGCGTGTGTTTCATGAGTGTTTTGACACGCAGTCACTAAAACTCTCATCTGCGTGCAAGACGTTAAGCCCTTGAGCCGCTAACCGCATCTCTCCAAAACATAAACAAAATGGGTCTAATCATTTTTTTTTTCTTCTCTAAAATGAAAATAACTCTTGGCTGATTCCTACTTTAAATGTAGGCCTTTTTGCATGAACACACATATTATTGCAATTCTCGCCGCATATTAGCCTGTATATAATAATAATAATAAAGCAATGCCCACAAAAGAAAGGAAAAAAAGGAAAGGAACGGAAAAAGCACATCTGATCTAATCAGAGAAGATTGTTATAATATGAGCCACAGTGGCTTTCTTCTTGTTGCGGGATAGGAGTGTAAATGAAAGGTGTTGCGTGAATTTAATGTAAAGTTTAACGCACACGAGACGAGCGACGCAAATAACACATTAGCCTATTATCCCAAGATCATTAATAATCGAGCATTTCTTTTCTTTTAAATGTTCTTCTCGTGGACACTGAAAGCTTTTGACATATATAGGCCTATTTCAAGATACATGTCAAAGTAGATATTTTACAAGCGCTGCAATTAGCTTTATTTATATATTGTTTATTAATAAAGGTGACACTTTATTTTAAGGTGTCCTTGTTACAGTGTAATTATACATTTAAGTACTGAGCGATATGAATTAACTGCATGCACTTACTGTATGGTTAGGGTTAGGAATAACCTTGCGTGTTTATGCATAATTTATTGTTATTATAATAGCATCATGTAACGTGTAACAAGGACATCTTAAAATAAAGTGTCACCTTTATTTATTGTTAATGCTTGTTCGTTTATTATTGCTATTGTATTCGACCAATATATGCTACTATTTTATTTAGCATTGTAAGGATTATATATTGTTTTCCCCCATTTTTTTGAGCATCGATATCATCAGATATATCTGCACTGCCAAATATGGATAATAAAGGGTTATTAATAGCAATAATAACAACGCGTAAATGGTCCGTACTCATTTTGCATTTGTGTGATACATTTTAATGCATTTATTTTAAAGAAAATAATTATAGATTTCGTTCACCTATCCGTGATGAAAATATATATATGTATATTTTACATTTAATATTTATGGATTTAACCCGAGGGAAAACTGGCGAGTGAAAAACTATCGCGTAATTGTAGAAGATAGTGTGACGCACTCAACAACAACAAAAGACACTTTAAACATCATAACTTACGAAACAAAAACGAATAAAACATGCATATAAAAATGGCTATGCGCAAACTCTTGGTAGTCTGTTTCTTTCGCTCTTCGCAATCGGCCCATGGCAAGCTTTGTTCAAATAAATATCATTTATTCAAAACAAATTTCGTTTACTTCTGTGTTAGTGTTTCTTTATTTTAATTTAGTTAGAGTTTACAGTGGATGCAGTGAGGCGCATGGTTGATCCGGCAGGTGTCGCTATAGAGCTGCAGACTCGCGTTGAGGACACACACATTTAGACAGAGATCAATCTGATTACATAAAGTTATTTCACAAAACTATAGATATGACTCGGACTGATGGGTTATATTTTGATTATATTTTTATGTTTATTTTATTTTTCCCCCCACAAAAATCTTGAAAGGAGATGAGTTTAAAATCGTGAGAGGTTATGTAAAAGTGTCGCGTTGAACTGTATTGTGAGCCGCAGCTGGACAGACATCGCGAGCTGTAACCCGAAGATGACCTCAATCTGACACCAGCAGAGGACACTTTACCGGCTCCTCGAGCCGCGGGCCCCGTCCACCACAGACTGCAGCTTTTCTTTTCTTTTTTAAGAATCGTCGCATGAGTTTATTCGCTCGGTAGGTTCTTTTTCTAAAAAGACATATTTTATTTTATGCATCTTTTAAAAAAGAGGAAGCGGTCATGGCGTTTCAATCACCTTTGAAACCGAAGGCGTGTTTTTCAGTGTGTGTGCAGTGTGTGTGCAGTGTGTGTGCAGTGAGACCGCTGGGATTATTCGCTGATGCAGTGGATCAACACTTTGAAAAGTAAACCAATGCGCATCATAGGTTCCTCTAACGTCGCGTCATAAAACATTTAATTTAATCGACCGAAACAGAGCATTTTTCTTGAGGTATTAATTGATTGTAGCCTATTTCCTATACGCATTATTTGTGAAGCTGTAGCTGCTCCGGATGAAATCAAGTCTTGTGTTTTAAGTGTCTGTGGTGGTCCTGCGCCGGCTCTGTTCGGATGCGATGGACTTACCGCGTCTCTACAGAACAGCTCCTCTTCTTCCTCCTCGCGATGAAGCAGTGGTCAGACAGCGCGCGCTCTGTGTCCACTGCAGCGCTTCACTTCTGCTCTCTCCTCGCGCGTGGTCTTCCCTCCCTCTCTCATAAACAGAGCGGTTGTTGCATTTATGAAATCCGTGTTAATTGCTTGCTTCATTAGAACTCGGTCCGTGCGTCCGCGGAGCACTTTATTGAGCTCGCTTGCTGAGATCCCGCACGAGGTCGGCTCCACTTACCCGTGCATGCTTAATTTCGACAACTAAACAAGTCAGGGCGCTCTAAATGCAGACATTTATGTAAAAAGCGATCGATGGGACGCTGATGTCACATGTGCCGCGGTGCAGGCTATATGATCATTGATGAGGAGTAGTATTTTAAGGGTCTGTTTGTGGTATTAGGGGCCATCTGTAGCACAATCAATATCATTGCTCCTCCTCTGAAACCTCAGGCCTTCCTAATGATTGATGATCTCGGGGCTCTTGGATAATTGAGCGACGCGATGCACGGCTCACATTTCAAGCTTTTTTCAAGACAGTTTCCAAACATAAAACTCGCTTTTTTTTTTCTTTTTCTTCTCGCGTGTGGAAAAGTTTACTTTATTTTAAAAGGGGCCCGTCTTTTCTCAACCTCCGCACAAGAAAGAAAGGGGGATGTGACTCTCGATATCGGTTGCATCGCATCGCTCAGTTATGCATTAAGCAAAGTCGGGCTGAAATGACTTTAATATAATATAGCGCTGTTTTAAGGTTTGGACGCGTGCCCGACGCGCCGCGACGCCTCTGAGTTCTCAGCGCATGTGAGTGGGATCTGCGGAGGCTCCCCCCTCGCGCACTGGACGCTCGCCTCGCGCGCAGGCTTTGGCGTGGAGCTCGCGCAGGACTGGCTGTGCTCAGCGCCACTTCCGGCTTCCGTCATTTCATTCTCCCGCCGATGCGCGCGGCTCAACTCTCTGCGTTCTATAAGCGAGCGAGCGGCCGAGCTGCCAGCACTCACTGACACTCACTCATCTCAGACCGCGCTCTCCACAAACTCTCCTCTTTCCCTGTTTACTGTAGTCATAAAACAAGAAAGCGGACCGGAGGCATAAAGGAGACAGGGACTTGTGGGATGAAAACGGGGCTAAAAAGATTCCTCCTCTCTTGAACATCATCTCCAGCCATCATTCATTCATTACCGTGACAACCTCCGGCTTTGATTGACAGCTGGAGTGGCAAAAAGCCATGCGACGCGACAGTTTAGTTACACGCAGGTTGTTGATGGGCCGGCTGTAACCTTCAGTTTGGTGCTCGACTTTTTTTCTTTTCTTTTCTGGGGGGCAAAGAGGAAAAGAAGAAGAATTGCACAACTCTTCCTGATGCCTGCGCTCCTTCTCAGCCCTAGTTCTGGAGAATAGGAGAATTCGGCAAGTTGCTTGAAAAGGGGGATCTTTCGCGGCGCGTGAGTTTGTGAGCGGACTGGGAAATTCAATCTACGACACAGATCCAGAGGTTTATTGGAGCGCAGGCTGATGGCGCAAAGGGTAGGTTTAAAATCTCCAGCACTCACCTCCACTATACACTATCTGTCACAGGCCTCTCCGTCAGTCTGACGCACTTGCTCGGGAATACTCGCCGCGCGACGCTTTGCTCGCTTCGGGAAGCGCAACTTGACCATGTTTTTGGTAATTACGCGCAAATACGCAGCAAACTTTAGCTCCGCGCGAGACTTTTTCTTCTCTTTCCCCTCACGCTTGCCTTTTGTTTTTGTGCTCTTTGTGCTGACTCTCTGCTTCTCTTGCAGTACGATGAGTTGGCTCATTACGGCGGCATGGACGCGGTCGGTATGTACGGGGATCCTCACGCGCCTCGGCCGCTGCCGCAGGTCCATCATCTGAACCACGGACCGCCGCTCCACGCCAGCCAGCACTACGGCACACATGCCCCCCATCCCAATGTCATGCCCACCGGCATGGGCTCAGCTGTCAACGACGTGTTAAAGAGGGATAAAGATCAGATTTACGGGTGAGTTTCATATTAATATCGGATGCGTGAACTCCTTTAGTCGGGCTTCTCTTTCCCCGAATAGTATTTTTTCTTCCTTTGAAAACTAAGTAGTTGGTGTTAGTATTTTGTATTTTTTTTTTTTTTTTATGGCGTTTTGTACACGCATTGCAATTTGTTTTTACTTATATTTATTTGCTTGGCAAATTGGCGTGCAAACTTCAGCCTCACGCTTAAAACAATTTCAAGAGAAACGGGAGATTGCTGCTTTAATTCCATTTAAGTTCCAAATCACTGCAGCCCAAAACAAAGTCACGAAACCCGAATCTCGTCGAGTGTAAAATGCATTTGATTTCTTAGTCATTTCTCAACTGTTGTAGGCTATTCGCAATTCCTGCTTTGTTTCGGGGCTCGTTTTATTCGTCAGTTGATCTGAAGTTTAGCGTGTCGCGGTTGTCTCTGCAGGCATCCTCTGTTTCCTCTGCTGGCTCTGGTCTTCGAGAAGTGTGAGCTGGCCACATGCACTCCCCGAGAGCCCGGGGTTGCTGGAGGAGACGTGTGCTCCTCAGACTCCTTCAACGAGGACATCGCTGTCTTCGCCAAACAGGTCCCTCACGAGCCGCGCATCTCACACCAGACGCATTTAAAGCATTAAAACAAAGACAAAAATAGCCGATCCTTTTTCATTTAAGACCGCTAATTATATTTGCACGAATGCACTTGGATGTCGTACATTAAGCGACTGTTGTTCTACCAGATTAGCGACGATTGCAATTTTAATGCTTTTTAAAAAAATGTAATTAACGACTGAATTGCTGCACATGTCTTCATCGATTGCTATTAACTCTCTTTCTGCTGTGTTTTAGATCCGCGCCGAAAAACCTTTATTTTCTTCAAATCCAGAACTGGATAATTTGGTAAGATCACACTTCAGCACTGATTGTCTTCGGAATAGCCGCACACTTTACTTCTGTGAAACGAGTCTGACTCGTTATTTCGAGACTTGTTTAGTTTTCTGCATGGATGTGGAGATAGTGAAGTGAACAGGAGGGGATGTGAAGTGTGACGGGGCTGTTTGGAGAGCCGCGCGCAGCGGTGCAGTGTGAAATAAGTCTCATTATTGGGCTGATATCACCAGCAACCCCTTTAACACTTCTCACAGGCCAATCATTCCACCTGCAATTTTTACATATCAAAAATAATAGCTTTTTATTTATCAAACACATTATTGAATTATTTCTTATTTTTTAATTACGTTTTTTTTTCAGTTGGAATAGGATGTTTTTTTCAATGCAACGAATATTAAAATTAAACAGCTAAATGAAGGCACACAGCTAACGACGTCCGTTTGTCTCTACAGATGATACAAGCCATACAAGTATTACGGTTTCATCTTTTGGAGTTAGAAAAGGTAATCTTTTATGGATTTGTATTGATTTAATTTCAGAAATAATTTGGATGGATTTACTTCTCCGTCACCAATTTGGGAATTTATTATTTTATTTTATATTTTTTATGAATAATTCAGATTTTGCATTACTTGGTGTAATAAAAAAAATACATACATGTTCTCTGACAAAATTACTCCGAACATAATTTGATATTAAAACCATGCCATTTAATTTATTTCCACGTTTTTGACATAGAAAAATTCTTATTTATTTCACAGTTTATAAATTAACTTCTAGTTTGTACTGGTGATGTTCGTCTCTACATAGCGTTTATTCTGTCGATGAACTTGTTGCATGTGTCTGTAGAGAATAATAAGCATTGCTACAGTTTCTCTTTAACTGCGCTTCTGTCTGGAGCGGCTGCTGACAGAGCCTTTCTCTTCTCTGCTCGAAGGTGCACGAGCTCTGCGACAATTTCTGCCATCGGTACATCAGCTGCTTGAAGGGGAAAATGCCCATAGATTTAGTGATCGATGACCGGGATGGCAACTCAAAATCAGACCACGAGGACATCTCGGGATCTTCAACTAACTTAGCCGATCATGTAAGTAACCGGATGGTTTCATTGTTTCTGTCTGCGCTGGATATTAAATGTAGCAGGCATACCCTAAAATAGTAACGTGAATGATCCAAATGGATCCTTATAATATATAAGATATGATGTTCTTAATTCTTGGCTGAAAGTTGCATGCGATTTTTCTGAACTTGTGGCTTGTGAGCAAACACGGTGCATGGATATATATACCCGATATATTTTCATTTAGTGCTGGTAGTTGATGTAGAGCTGCTATTTTGTGTTTTTGTATTTGATTATGTCTGTATCGTGTGATGTTGCAATCGCGCGTTGCACAAGACTGCTTTAAAACATATTAATAATTGAGACGGATATGTTGATGGCGTTATAACCTACTTTATAGGCTATGCCGAGCATGCACACTATGTTGTTTAAAGTATTGCAGAGTCAAGTTTATAATGTGCTTCTCTATAGTTTGCTTGGATGATGATGTTGTTGTTGTTAATGTGTTTAATTGTCTGTTATTGATTGTTGCTGTGGTTTGAGTCCGGGTTACAGGCCCGACGCTCCATTATAGTGACTCCGAAGCTTTTGCATCTAAATGACAGCGGCTGTGTTTAAACGTGTTGTAAATGAAATGTTGGGGAGAAGAAAGTTTTCCGCGTCGTGTAGTTGATATCGAGTCGAGGAGCGCTATATATGATCTGAGGCTTCTGGGGTCCAGCTCTAACTATACTGCATTAGAGTGAATCGACTTTGATTGATTAAAAACCGGGAAACATTCAAACACATTTCTGTATACTTAACAACTCACTCGTAGTGTCAAATATGTGTTTGTAATCTCTAACTATACTGCATTAGAGTGAATCGACCGAATTGATTGATTAAAAACCGGGAAACATTCAAACACATTTCTGTATACTTAACAACTCACTCGTAGTGTCAAATATGTGTTTGTAAGCCACGCTGTTTCTCTGCTGATTGCTGTTGGGTTAGCTCAGTTTGATAAGACTGACAACATGAGAAATGTCAGTTCGGCTCATCTTTAGACTGGACATCTGGACACATTGCGTTGAGCATTCTGTGGATTCGGGTCCCTTTACGCGGTTTCTCTGGGGTTATCGTTTAAAAGCTGCTGGTATCTTGTGCATGTTGCATCGCCATTACCTTACACGATTAACGCTGCTAATGTTTGTCTGATAGGATGATTTTGCAGCTGATTGTAGGCTACACTGTGAGCTTTAATAGCTGGCGAAGGATTTTTTTTTTTTTTTGTATAAATATCTAAATATGTCTGAGCATTAGTTTGGCGTAGACTGAGTACAGTAGAGACACTACACAAACACTAGATGCCGAAATGATTTTTCACATGATATTTATTTAGCTTATGTACTAAAATATCATAAACTAATAATAGCCGTAAGTAGTTTATATTTTCCACAATTAGCTCATAAACACAAGGCGCATTTTTGTCTGAACTGTACCCATATAAGGTACAGCTGAGACACCCATTCTTAACGCTCTAAAGCTGGCTAACCATTTATTGCAAATGTAATAAATTACAGTTGTGCATTTTTTAAAATTCAGATTTATTTATTCGCTTTATTTAATTCAGATTCAGTCAAACAAAATAGGAACAAAATATTTAACACTAGAAAAGATATGGCAGACAGTACAAATGTAAACATAACAGTAAAAATAACCGTGGAAATAGTCATGGAAAACAACAAAAACAGAAACAAAAATAAAGTCCACCCGCCTAACACACACACACTCACACACACTCACACACACACACTCACACACACACACACACACACATTATAGGGACATTATAGCTATTATATATAAGCGTAGTGGTTTTTATAGGACCTAACTAAATTTTCCCATAAGGTTAGAGTTTACTGGTATTATACTTGTAACGTAGCTAATACCAGAACACACACACAGCCTCTGAACATGCATTTTATTTTCTGATTGAACTGTTACTGCATACATAGGATATAAAGGGTGTATCAACTGTACCCACTTTACCAGCTTGTATATTTAAAAAAATGCTATATTATCATTTTAACATTCATGTTAGAAAATATGTCCGTTAATAATAGACAGTTGAAATATCACAAATATAATTTTTAAGCATAATTTGCGTAGCATGTGTGTAAATGTGACTTTTAACCTATTATCATAACATTGTACAGCTAAATAGCATGTGACGCAATAGGACACCTGTCTGGGTACAGTAGATACACTGCGCCTCAACCGTACCCCACTGACATACTCGCATGTTTCTCTAGATTATGCAAAGACCTTGCATGGCACAATATCATAGTCCAAACGTCACATTTGCATAGTGTGCATCTGCGGCTGTGTTTGTTAATGAGAATAAATGATTGCAGGCCTGATGCTGCTCCACATACTGAAAAGCGCACAACTTCATAAGCACCACACTGGCCTGATGTTCAGCTCAGCACAAAACACAAAGCAGACGACTGCTCCGATTAAACCACAGATTTGTTCATTTCATTTGGATCTTGCAATTTATTATATGGCGTTTCTACCTTTTTTCTATGTTTGAGGACAGCAGTTTGATAGTTGGATATGCAAATGTATTTAGGTTGTACCTATCTCATCCATTTTTTTCTGCTTTGATATGCATTTTTAATATATTTCGCCTGGGGCTACATAATTTGGTGAAAGTTGCTTTGCTGGGGATGAAGGACATGCCTTGCTCTCTCTCTCTCTCTCTCTCTCTCTCTCTCTCTACCTGCTGTATGCTGTGAATATAGGCACTTTTATTTACTATTGAATGCTACGTTGTCTTTGAGTGTGGTTTATAGTGCTGTCAGAGTTTACAAGGCCTTTGTCAGGATGCCATTATATTTTTGATTTGCCTCCTGTTACTGTCCAGCCTCTCAAAAACGTTAATCCTGCAGTTATTAAAAAATACGATTAGAAATTAAATCAAAGTATCCATGTTATTCAACACAACTGTACAATAGAGATTTGCTCAATAATTGAGGTGACATCTGGCTTCTCTGTTGGATTTGTCTAGTGAATAATCTGTTAATAACCAGTTAATAAGATACTAGTTTCAATTTGATTTGACATTTGTTTGTGTAAATTCTGTTGCAAATTAAATTAAATAGGTGCAGCTTATAATATGTTGACAGTGTTTTTGACATTGTCTCAGTGTTAACATTTTGATTTGGCTGTGACGTTATGAAATATTGTGACGTGTGCCTTTGGCACCCACATTTCTCCTAATTGTTTGTGGCTGTCAGTAGTTTTTATGTTGATAATATTCAAGTAATACAAGTCACATAAAGAAATATATAAGTCGTTTTTTAACGGGAATTATCTTCTGTGAGTATGCTGTAGTGATCTCTCTCAAATATACTATGGCCATTCGCATGCAATAAGCTTAGAGACCAGTTTTCTTTTTTAAAAGTTTTTATTTTATTTATTAATTTTTTTAAGTGGTGATTTGTCGTGATAGCCTGTTTGCCCGAGCACAGCTCACAGGTCATCTAGTTCATTCCTACAGATCGTCAGCACTGATCTGGTGTGTGTGATCTGGGTGTGACTGCTCTCGTCTGGACACACACTCACTTGTTGCTGTGCTTCAGACGCAAGTGTGTGTTTGGGGTTTATTCTCTTCACAGTGATTTGGATTGGTTTTCCAGTTTAATAAACATATGGATTTCAGAACAGGAACTTATTACATGCAGAAGTATAAATTGGTAACCTGCAATTGTTAACTATTTCAACCCATAAAAATGTATATTGTTGGTGTAAATTGATATATGTAGGTGGATATGGAGATGTTAACCTTTTTTTTCAGCGTGTTTCAAGTGTTTTCAAGTGAGGTGTGTTTTTTGCTATTCTGTGTCAAATAGAAGAGCATTGAAAACATTCAGTCACGTCTCTTAAAATGCTTGGCTGTCAATTACTCGAGCTCAGCGAAGGCTGCTTTCTCATTCTTGTCAGATAATTGGTAGTTTCGCTCTGAATAGTCATTTTGAGATGCTTCAGACCGTCCCTTTAACATGTTTTTGGAGCGCTTGTGTAATTACATGTTAAATGCAGCAGAGCTGTGTGTGGATCTGACGCTCGCTTGTGTTTCGCATGGGTTATTTTTACGTGTTCGCAAGCCATTCCCAATCTGACGTACATTTTTCTGTAAGTGTGTGGTATCTAGTGACCAGTGTTGGGGTAGCACATTACAAGTAACGCGAGTTACGTAATCAGATTACTTTTTTCAAGTAACTAGTAAAGTAACGCATTACATTTTAATTTACAAGAACATATCTGAGCTACTTTTTCAAATAAGTAACGTTTATTGATTGGAGATTGAAAATTATTGTTTATTTATTGATTCCCATTTATTGATTGAAAGCTCTACTGTCCCCATGTTGAGAGAAATCGGGAGTAAGATGCTACTTTAGTTCTAGAATAAATGTGAACATGCATTAATTCATCTCACTCACTCACTCACAAAAAAAAAAATCTGATTTAGTTTTCCTCAAAATTAATAAAAACAGTTAAACGCAACTCAGAATATGACTCAAAGCTGCAATTATTAAATATGTTAAATAATACAAATATCCTTTATGTATTTAATCCCCTTTTATTAACCAATTTGCTGCTGACCTTCAGTGATCATACTAATAAGCAACAATTACACAAGATAAACTAACATTTCTTCTTCCTTTTTTATTGCTGAAGAGTGTTGAACTTTCTTCTTCAGTGTTCTACTGTACAGACGTGAATCTACTTTTCCTTCAGCATTAGGCTTTTGGTGCGAAAGGCTTTTATATTTGCCAAAAATAGAACTTTTTATATTAAAAGCAAACAAGCAAGCCCAGCCCAGATTTAAAAAGTAACGCAAAAGTATCGTAACGCATTACTTTCAATAAAAAGTAACTAAGTAACGTAATTAGTTACTTTTTAGGAAGTAACGCAATATTGTAATGCATTACTTTTAAAAGTAACTTTCCCCAGCACTGCTAGTGATGACTGTGAATGAA